CCACCCAAGGCAGATCTCATGGCCTTCAGCCCCAGTCTTTCTCCATGTCCTGGATCTGTTGGCGCAACCAGAGAGCCAGAAGCTTCTTTGGACTCCCCTGGGAAGGTGGGTGGCTCTAATATTTTATTTATGTAAGTATCTAGTCATTTAGTCTTGCAAAATCTTTTAATTACCCATACAGTACGTTAAAATAGTTTTTAAAGTCCATTTATTCTAGTACTGCCAGGACGTTTAATTTCCAGAAATTGAATTAACTTTATGAGTGACATTCTTGGTTTGACTTCCAACCGTACGTTGAACAGATATTTATTGGGTGCTGAATCCATTTTATTTAAAACCTGTGATCAGAGTCATATTGAATTCTTGATCCATTTCTGCCACTGTACCTGAAAAGTATTAGGTGAAAGCCAATTTAGTCGTTACATATTAAGTGAACCTTAGCACTACTCTTTTTTTTATTTCTAAGTTATGCAAGGTATTTTAATCTAATTCTATTGTTTTTAAGCAACCCCATAGCAGATATATGCAATAACCGCTACATCGTTAACTTGTTTTCTAGACTGTTTGTAGACATGGTCATCAGCACTAGTCCATGTCTGTAACTTCAATCATTTCCTTCCACTATGCTAGAAAACAGCTGCTTTACTATACAAATCTAATTTTGACAATAAGTCTTTCAAAAATAACTTATTACCAGTTGTGTAAAAGATTTTAGTATACATTGTCTGATGATGTAGAACATAAGAAAATGTTGATTGAGCATCCTGCCTACACTTCAAAAATTTCTTGAAATTTGTGTTTAACTGGTGTTAAAGAAAATACTTCTGGACAGGTACTTCCTCTCTTCAAGAAGGCTTTCTCCTTTTATTTAAGTTTTCTGTTAGTGATATGGTGCTCAGGCATTAAAGATAAACCTACATTATGCACTTTGATTTCTCTTGAAATTCATAGTCTGAAACTTAACCAGTTTGCATGAGGATTTACTTTTTCTTTTAATGTTCGAAAAGACAGAAATCTGGAGATGATGTTGTGCACCTTTAAAGTCACTACATGTTAAACTTACATTTCCTGGATTGTAGTTTGTGAGTTTCAAATTGGTGGTTCTCCATACTCTATCTTTAGCCCAAGCTTTTGTTTTCTAATTTCTATTTTAAAACTTTATTTGTGCTTCCGTTGCATTTTTGTAATGTGATATACGTTTCTACTCAGGTATTTTATTTTTCACGGTGTTAGATATTTTACAAGATATTTCTTAATTAAAAACTCAATGGAGCAAAATCAGTGTAGCCTTGAGAGTAGAACCACAACACAACCATGAGTGTGCAACTAAAGGCCACTTAAAACAAAACATTTTTGTATTTTTTTCCTTTCTCTCCTAAGAACACAGGTTTGGTATATGTTACAAAGCAATCTACTTTTTCCATTTAATTTCTTTTAAAACTTGAGCATTCTCTGAACTGCTGTAATGAAACCCGTGTCTCTCAGCACAGCTCACCTTAAATCCTTATACCTCCAGGTATATTTGTCCTTGCACTTTTTCAGGTGCCATTTGACACTTGACCCCAGGCCCAGGTATTTGATTATGTGACATGGATTGGGGAGGGTGTCCCCTCCTCAATGTCACCCCCACCCCAAAAAACCTCCCACCACTTCTCTAATATCTTAGAGCTAGCATTATTTATTAAATACTTACTATGTCTTCTAGAAGCATAAATGTTATTCTTTATCATTGATGGCTGTATTGATGTAACTGGTAATTTAGGCCCTTCTGTTAATATGTATTCTCTCCCAGAATACAGGCTATCATCATATGCAAATTTTCAGAAGATTAGTGAACACCTTAGTAATGAATTTATCTTTTGGGTCATTAGAAGCATGAGCACATGGAGATCCAAGGAAGTTAGGATTCACAACAGCGGAGAAGTTTGAAATAGATGAGAGCATGAAAGACACTTTAGTATTTTGCCTAATACTGCGCCTCTGTGTTTCTGTAGGTAACATTCCTCAATTCAAGCCAGAATCATGAAGCTTCCCTATGCCAGTCCCTTAAGTTGTAATTTCTAGATATGGCTAACCAAGTTATGACTCAATTTCAGACACTTTTGAGAGAAAAGGGGGGCACTATACAAAAGTATACAAGACCACAGGCAAACATGGAGCATATTCCAGGCAAATTGGGGTCTATGGTCACTCTGTCCTCAGACCTGACAATGCTAACTGCACTAGCAACATTGAGAGTCCTTATTGAACATTGTGGTTCCCAGACACCACCAAAGAATTTCTGAAATAAGTAGTATTGGCAAATTTGCATCTTAAACATTTCAGTTGAGTCATGGTCAACTGAAGTTTTAGATACAATAGCCCTATTGAGTTGCTTGGGAAAGCAAGTTCGTATTATATGACAGGATGTAACTTAACTACCACTACTTTTTATTCATTATTGGAGATTTATCTTGGGACATTTATGTTATCTGGTTTTAAAAATGCTCTTCAACAGCAATGAAATTTAATTTATATTATCATCTTTGTGTTGAGATGATTAATCAATGATAAACTCATTTTTAAACTCCAGATAGTAGCTTACACTAAACATTGCTATTGTGGATGGAGAGATTAACTCATTACATTTAAATTCATGCTTTATAAGAAAAGTAATCCTTAAAATAAGAATTTGAATAGACTTTGACACTAGAATCATTCTAAAGGAGTAGAGAAGTGTAAAAACAGAATTTAGTAGCACATATAAGTTGATGAATCGAGTGACCATCATTCTTGTGAATTTCCTTAAAAAATTTTTTCTGAATTTTCTTATTTACTAATGTTCTATTTTTCAGCTCTTAATAACTAAAAGAGTTCAAAATTATTGATTTCTTTAAAATATATTTTATTAATGACAACATTATTAAGCTAAGAAATTAACCTTTGGATAAGACAAAAGATCCTATTAAGTTTTTCTTTTTTTGAAACTTCAAATTTTTTCAGTAGCATAGATATATTAATGGAGAAAGAATTTCAGTTACTGAATATCTGATTCCAAGAATTTTGAGAAATAGAAAATATTTTTACTGCAGGTGATAAATACCATTATTGACACTTACAAAATTATTAGATAATGTCAAAACTGTATATTTAGGGTATTTGAAAAGCATAAATATAAAAAAGATGAAATTAGTTACCTCTGAAAGTGGAAATCATAACTTTTTGAATTATTCTATTTTGAATCAAAATTAAGGTTCTTTTTGCCCATGTCAGATGTGTATGAAAATTGAAACTTCCCCTGTATTACTTGTTTCTCAGTTGAAGCACTTTTCTGTGTTCTTAAAGATAGAAACATCACTCAGCCTGTGCAGTAGCAATATAAAGACTTTGGAGAGTGATACTGTTCTGTAGGTCATAATTTTTCCCAAAAAGCCAATTCTGGTTTTGAGTATTATGAAAACAATGTGGCTAAATTGAGGCCTGAGGATAACTGCCATTTGTGAAGCACTCACTCTCCTTAAGGTACTATCCTAGGCACTTACTAAATCATAATTCACTCAACCACCATATTATTATTAATATGTTATGAATGTTATGAAAGTGGACACTGAGACAGAGAGGTTAAATTATTTCCCCCAAGTTACAAAACTAGTAAGTTGGAGACTAGGAATTGGAATGGAGGAATTTCTGATGTTGATGTCTGTAATCTTCCCTCTACATTCTAGTGATAACTAGAATTTGGAAATGCAAATACCCCACAGAATTGATGCTTAAGCTGAGTGTCTAAATGAGGCTTATATAATATCAAAATAATGACAAAAAGAAGTGAATTAAGTGCTAGAACTTGAAGAGACTTTAATCTGTTATTCAACAAAATGCTAGTACACTCAAAATTATACACATATTAAGGGTGTTTTCAAATTTAGTGAATGACAATCATGGTTAGGGAAGAAATTACTTGTCTGTGATTTTCCATTTAAGAAAAGTCCTGCATTATGGATCGCCACTGATTATTATTATATACAAAAGACACAAAATGTGAGGTTTGAAATTCCACAGAGATAGAAATATGTAAAAATAGAATGAAAAGATACGAATGAGTTGTTGAACTCATGGAATTGTACTTACACGTTAAGCCACCGGATGTCGCTGTCTTCCACAAAATGGCTTTTCAGAACAAAGGCATAATCCTGTTTCTCAAGGACTAGGAAACAGCTACGTTCGGAGATCTCAGTCGTTTCGATAAAACTGGATTTAAGAATAGAATAGGAAAATTTAGAGCGTGTGGATGTGTTCTAGACGGGCAAGCCACTGATTTTTAAAACAGGAGAAAGATATGTTGTTCTATAGGCTCAGCGGACCGAGAACCCAGCGTCTGCTTCTCTCATTTCTGCTCGTCGCAGCCTGGGAGGCGGGGAGCGGTCAGGTCCACTACTCCGTCTCCGAGGAGGCCAAACACGGCACCTTCGTGGGCCGCATCGCGCAGGACCTGGGGCTGGAGCTGGCGGAGCTGGTGCCGCGCCTGTTCCGGGTGGCGTCCAAAGGGCGCGGGGACCTTCTGGAGGTAAATCTGCAGAATGGCATTTTGTTTGTGAATTCTCGGATCGACCGGGAGGAGCTGTGCGGGCGGAGTGAGGAGTGCAGCATCCACCTGGAGGTGATTGTGGACAGGCCGCTGCAGGTGTTCCACGTGGAGGTGGAGGTGAAAGACATTAACGACAATCCGCCGGTCTTCTCCGCCTCAGAACAAAAGCTCTCAATTCCCGAATCTCGACTGCTTGACTCTCGCTTTCCTCTAGAAGGCGCATCTGATGCGGATGTTGGAGAGAACGCAATGCTTACTTACAGACTCAGTCCCAATGAGTTTTTCACGCTCGATATTATAAACAAAAAGGACAAAGGCAAATTCCCGGTGCTTGTTCTACAAAAACTGCTGGATCGTGAAGAAAATCCTCAGCTTCAGTTGTTATTAACTGCAACTGATGGAGGCAAACCTGAACTCAAGGGGTCTGTTACACTGCAGATCTCGGTATTAGATGCCAATGATAACGCACCTATATTTGACAGATCCATTTATGAAGTTAAGATGTATGAAAATTCAGCCAACCAAACGTTGGTAATATGGCTAAATGCTTCTGATGCGGATGAAGGAATAAACAAGGAAATAATATATTCATTTAGCTCTTTGGTCCCACCTAACATAAGAAGGAAATTTCTAATGAATGAAAGGACTGGAGAAATAAGAGTAAATGATGCTATTGACTTTGAGGATAGTAACACTTATGAAATCCATGTAGATGTTACAGATAAAGGAACTCCACCAATGGTTGGTCACTGCAGTGTCCTATTGGAAATACTGGATGAAAATGATAATTCACCTGAGGTGGTAGTCACTTCTTTGGCTCTTCCGGTGCGAGAGGATGCTCAAGTGGGCACCGTCATAGCCTTAATTAGCGTGTCCGATCATGACTCTGGCGCCAACGGTCAGGTGACCTGCTCACTAACGCCCCATATCCCATTCAAACTGGTGTCCACCTTCAAGAATTACTATTCCTTGGTACTGGACAGCGCCTTGGACCGCGAGAGCGTGGCCAATTATGAGCTGGTGGTGACCGCGAAGGATGGGGGCTCGCCTTCGCTGTCGGCCACGGCCAGCGTGTCCGTGGACGTGGCCGACGTGAACGACAACGCGCCCACGTTCGCGCAGCCCGAGTACACGGTGTTCGTGAAGGAGA